TACATATAGTTATAATTTGTAAATACAATAATTCATCATAAAAAATGAAGTAATTTTTTATTTTGAAAAATAATAAACAATTATATAAGAAAATGATATGTTATAATTTCTTAAGATTTGTATTATATAAGATTTCTTAAGCTTTTATTTTTTACTTAAAATTTAATTTTAAAAAATAAAAAAAAATATAATATATTTCAAAGAATCATTTCAGAATTCAGTAGTAAAGATAATAAAAGATTAAATTCAAGATACTTTAAAGAATTTTAAAAAGCCAAGTTTATAACTTTAAAAATATTTGAATTTAATTAAATATTGAAAAAATATTATTTGATTAAAATAAAAGTATAAATAAATATAAACAAATCTGAAAAAAAGTTTGAACAAATTAAATCTTATTTCACTAGTATAGAAAATATCTGAAGCAATATTAAATATTTCAAAAAAAATTTTGGGGATAAAAAGTATAATTAATTATATAACTATAAGATTTATTTAAGTTAGATTGCTTTTTCATCTATAGCCTTATTTAGTTATACTGATTTTATCTACTGCTTAAGTAGATTTATATACTAAGAGTAATTTTTAAAAGATAAAAATTCTACTACTAGTTTTAAATTATTTAATTCAATTTAAATTCAGGTAGTTGTTATCTGAAGTATATATCTTTTAGAATTAATTAAAATACTTAAATAACCAGTTCAATATTTTTTATCTGAAATTTTAAAAAATATATTAAGTTATTTGTTACTATTTGCAGCTTTGAATTTCTTTTTTATTAGGTTTTTTTATTTAAAGTAAATGCTAGATTGAAATAATCCCAGGCTAAAATATTTTTTATATTATAAAGTTTGTTATGCAAGAAAGAAATAAGAGCTTTTATTAGAATTATATTAGAAGTTATTTTTATATAATCTTTCTTACTTTGATCTGTTTTTAGTTTATTATTATTAAAAAGATTTGAGATTTATCTTTATGCAGTTTAATTAAATTTGATTAGGATCCAGATATTTGAGTATAATATTTGTATAATAATTATTAGACTCATAAATAAAGAATAAATTTATATATTTTGTTTTCTGTAAATATTGAACTAAGAATATATATTTAAAAATTAGAAAGCATTACTTACTATACTATTGATTATTGGTTATATTTTAAAAAATTTAAAAAAACTTTATTAATATAAGAGTGGAGCAAACAACTCTAAAGATAATTAAAGGAAAAATACAATCTTTAAATATATGTTTTCCTAATATAAATAAATATAATAAAAATACATAAAGAAAAATATACATATAATCTTAGTGATTCTCCCAGAAGATCATATGCATAATAAATGAAATAATAAAGAAAAAGAAATAATATAATATAATAAATGAAACACAATATTAAACAAATACATTAATAATATCCTGTTACCCTTTTATGTCAAAAAGTAATTAATAGCACGTGTTAATTGATAATTTCTATGTCTATTATATTAGAATTAATAATTATTATAAGTTCGGATTTTGTATCACTTTAGAGCTTCAGGATTGGCAGATATCATATGACTCCGTATATGTGTTTTAGTTTAATCATTAGTGTTATTCAGCCGGAGGTGAGAATCCTTAATTATTGAGAAATCGGTATTGACAATGTCTTTTCAGCAAATAATAAAAGATGTTTTTCTCATCAAATACCTATAGTTTCTTAAAAGTATTTGAGAGATAGTGACCTAACTTTGAGGAGAAAATTAGTATTTAGGTCAGACGTCTATATATTTGTTACAATTAATTATAAAGTTTTGTAAAGGACTTATTAGAAAACATTAGAAAACTTATTATAAAAAATATAATTATTATATAATTAATATTAAAGGTAATAATTTTTATTATATATATATATTTTTATTAAGAAATTTTTTATTTAAAGCTTATAAAACAATATAAATTTATTTGAGAAACCATAACTTCAAGAGTATGATATTTAATGTTTTCAATTTTTGAAAAAAATTGTTTAAATATAATTAATAGTTATATTATTGTTATTGAGATAATGGCATGAAAAAAGATTATTAAAAAGTAATGTGTTATTACAGTTTTTTATAAGATTTCAGAGAATAAAAAAGATTTTAATATAATAGATCAAATTTTTGATAAAGTTTCATCAAGACAAGATATAACAGTTGGCATTTGTTATATTAATATGTCAAATTATTCTTGATTTTGTTAAATAAAGTATTCAAATAAATGAATATATAATAAAATATAAAATATAAAATATAAAAAATAAGATAATTTATAAAAAATTAGGAAAATTGGAAAAAATAATTAACAAATATATACAGTATATACTGAATACATGTGGTAAAAATTGGTAGATCCTTGACGCAATTGACGCAATTATTTGACGTAATTATTTGACGAAATTAATTGAGTCACTATTAAAACATATAAAATAATTGAGTCAGATGCAATTATTTTTGAGGATTTTGGCAATTGAGTCAACAGCAAAATAATTTACACCACATGTATAATATACTGTATATAGAAAAAATTGAAAAGGAAAAGACTTTTTTGAAAACAATAACCAAAAGAGAACCAATAAATGTATTTTTAAGTAGAAGAGGTTTGGCAATTAATGAATATATTGAATTAAATAAATAAAAATTATGTAAAATCATATAATTTTTATTAATTTTTATTAATTTTAATAAATTTTGCACATACAATATTAATAAAATAATCAAATTTTAATAATAATTATTTAAAATTAATTAAAATTTTGAAAATTTCTATTCTAGAAACTTCTAATGATAATAAAAAATCTTTAGAATATTTTACAAAAATTTCCAAAGATCTCTATATAAAAGATTTCCTGATATATTAAGATAAAACTCTTGCATCACTATTATAGACAATATTCTATAATCCTATAATCTGTTTAATTATCAAGAACATTATAAAAAGTCAACTGATTTTAACATTCATGAACAATATGGCTATAACAAATTATAGTATAAAAATTTTTTATAAAGTCACTAATATCTTTTGTTCATTTTTATTCTTGAATTCAATCAGATGTAACGAGAACAAAAACAGATCTAATCATAAATCTCAAAGCTAAAATAAATCAAGAAAACAAGTTCTAATAAAAGATCTATAATGAAAAATATTAAATTTTTTAAAATTCTATAATAGTAGCATTACTTATCACAAGAAATTGGTGCAGAATATGACATGCCATTATGTAATTACTGCACGTTCACAAAAAACCATGGTAAATTACACAATCTGTGTTTGATCAAGAAATGTATTTTGCATTTTTGTAACTTGTACACTCTCCTAACAAAGATTACCAGAAATTTTAAAATCAAATATAATTGACATTATTGAATTGCTTTTTTTCAGATTTGTTTATTGGCAAACATACATATTAACTGACTTTAAAATTTTTTTATTAAGTTCTGATAATTATTATTTATTTATTTATACATTTAATATTTTGTAGGATTACTATTAGAAATTTTGATGGCCTCAACACAACGAGGCATACTTGTTACAAGATTTTTATAAATTGTTTCATCTATTTTTAACCATTCCTCTTGTAAAAAATTGAACAGTTCTGTCTCACTTGTTAGTAGTAGATTATGTTTATGGATTCGATGTTCCAAATTATCCCAAAGATGGATTGAAATCAGGACTCTGTGCAGGTTATAGAAGACAATTAATATTTTTTTCTTCATCCATTCTTTCACAATATGTGCCCGATGAGTTGGACAATTATCATCTTGAAATAAATAATCAGAATATCCAGAAAGACTTTCTAAATATGGTAATAGATTATTATTAAGAATTTCTATATACTCTTTTGCTGTTTGCCATCCATTAACTCTAATCAATAGTCCTAAACTATCTATAATAAAACATCTCCAAACCATTACACCTCTTCTACCGGATTTAAATGATGGAATTAAACAATCAACATCATATTTTTCTTTAGGTTTTCTCCAAACATAACTACAACCATCTCCTCCAAATATTTCAAACCAAAGATTCATCACTCCAAATAATAAAATTCCACTCTTCTTTCCAATCCATTCATTCTTGTGCCCATTTAAAATGTATTTTTGATTTTTCTCATTTACAAAGGGTTTTCTCTTTCCAACTCGACCATAAAATCCTTCTTTATAAAGATAACATTGTATAGTATATGTGCTAACTTCAGTTGATGTTGACTCAATAAATTTATTAGTCAAAATATTTAAGGTAGACTTTCTGTCTTCCTTTAAAAGACAAACAAGATGATAAGTATCATGTTCAGTTAACATTGATGGTTTTTCAGGATGTGGGAGGGGTTTCACTTCACCAGTTTTTTTATAAAATGTAATAGTGTCATAAACGGTGCTTTTTCGAAAATTTAAAGTTTCTATAATTATAGGAGCTTTCACTCCGCACCTCCAAGCACCGATGATTTGGTTACGTTCCCCTTAAGTAAGTTCTTTTCTTTTTTGCTCCATTTAAAATAGAGACGAAAAAAAATAAAATACTGACAATAGGAGAAGTTCTGTCAAAAATACCTAGGGTCGGTTAATGTGCACGTTTGCCGACAAAAAATTTTAAAAAAATGAGTAATCCGTGCTAACCATACTTGATTTCAAAAATTCCGGTGATCTTTGTCAGGGGAGTGTACGTATAAAGACTTGTATTGGGCTGATAAGAAACTTGGCAAAAATTGTAACCAAAGGTTAGGGATACTTATTTTTTTTTCTTATTATTTTTTATGCCATTATTTGAAATAAAAAATTCCACATATAGTACAGTAATAACAATTCAATGTTAACCAGACGGAAAAAGAATCGATTCGAGAACAAGTAAAATTCCTTTTCACAAATACGATAGGAAATTCGGACTTCATGTGGTCTTATGGAACGTTTGACGGATCCCTAATTGATCGCTAGACCAATAAAAAGAGAAAGGGTTTGGATGTAGTAGGAACACGATTCAAAAGAAGCATCATATTGTTTGCGTGGTTTTGGTTTGTGTTCCAAATACCAAAAATTTCTTCGTATGTGAAGGAGTTGTGGTTAATAAGTTATGGGTGGGTCGCACAATAACTAGTGTTCTTAAATGGACAAAAGATAATCTGACGCAAAAAAAAAAAAAAAAAAAAAAAAATTATATATTTATGCTGAATGATGTCTATATTACTGTACTCTATATAAAGGCTTAATAAAATCTTAGAACAGATATGCGCCTTGTATAATTCACTTTCACATATTTAGTTCTACAATTTTAAAAATGTTGGCAGTTGAACAATCGATTCAATTCTATGAATGGATGTATGGCGCGGGATTTATGGTAAGCCTCGGAAATTTTGCTATTCATTTTGATATTTACATACTTACAGTATCCACGGTTCGTTTTCTTAATATAGATTTATCTTCATAATTTTTTTGTTTCTATCATACTATACAAATCTCATAATGTACAGTACATGGTTCCAATTTCCTCAAAATTATTTTTAACTTTACTGGAATGATTTCGTTTATATTTAAATTTTTAATTAATGCCACACCCTACGATTTGTCTTTATTGGCGTGCCAAACCATAGTTTACCTCTCGAATATAAACACGTTGATCTATAAAACGACTTTATCGATCTTTTTACTATGGAGGTTAAAGCAAATTATACAACTGGATTATGATAAGTGGGCAAGTTTTGTGTTAGTATGTGCAAGGGTTACTGCTCAGGTATGTAAATACGTACATGCTTTCATTCATTCTAAATATTTCAATAGCAAATTTTCACACTTATAAAATTTACGAAAATAATAGATTGTGTATATAACGTTTATCCACCCTCAAATATATACCTGGTCACCTTCTCTCTATTCGATTTACAAGTATTATAATTCATGCGTGTTCGATGCCGCTGGGTCGTTGAAAACAGTATTAATCTACTTTTCAATTGACACAATAATTGACATATATGTCACGTTCAGATTGGTCATCATTCTCCATAGAGCAAACAGAAATGCCGCACAAATCAGTTCTAATATGGACCGGAAAACAAAACGTACATTGTTTACAGCGGTCATGTATTGGAATTTCGTTCGCGTAGCTGTAGCTATCGGAATGAACATAATTCAGATAGCCCCTTTGGTAGCTGCCAACACTTCATTGTCAACAATTACGATGATCTTGCCACTCGTAACTTTTTCCAAAACCTTTTCTATATTCTCATGACATATGTTGTAACCATTGATGCGGAAATAGTTAAAGTCATTGAGGGAGAAAATAAAGTAATTCAAGTTTTCCTGGAACCCTTACGGGCGCACAAACTCCTTACAAAAAGTATAGCTCATCCAAAAAATCTTATGACGAAGAAAGATTGCAAGTAGATAGCAAGAGGCTTTCGTTCTTTGAGTGGGTCAACATGATTGTGGGTATTCGTAATAAGAATGATAGCAAACAGGAATTTGAAAAGGAGGAGTTGGATGAAATTCTTAATGGACCTAAAGAGAATGCTAATTTGGACCCCGAAAGAGAAAGCTCAGTGATTATATCAGAGGAGCCTAAACAATAATATGTATGATAGTATCGCCTACATCTCACATTATAAAAATTTTGCATAAAATATTAATCACAAGAAAATGATGTATTTGGTTTATGTTAACTTTAATGTAAATATATTTTGTTTATTTTTTCTTGTCAGGCAGTTATTAGTTTAAATATAACATAAGTTTAACGACATTGATGAATTGGTTCAATTTTAATACATATGTTGAAAACTGATTTTAACTAATTTTTTGAATGGGTCAGGTCAACCCGATCCCAACCCAAATGTACAGATAAATTCGCTTACATAATTAAATCCATGTGACACCGCAACAATGTTTTGATTACGAGTGCCTTAACAAAAACCAACGCGAATCAAGCCTTGAGACAACTTGGTTAGAATAACGTTAAGCGAAATTTTATTTACCTAATAAAATGAGTCTATACAGGCGACGTAATATTGTGGCGAATCTGTCGCTACGGTTAGCGCAGATTCGTGAAATAATGAGCTAGTACTGTAGAATAAGATTTATTTTAGGTGAGACGGATTTAATGTTGACCAAAAAATCTCTTTTTTATTAACTATAAAAGTTGTGATAACATTATTACATAACATTTCAATGCATTACATAATTGTTGATTTGATTCATGTCGGAATCGATCTTGTGATACTTCAGACCGTCGTTTTTCCCGATTTTGCTGTGGATTATATGATGCTTACACATCTTTTATCTTTTCTTGCACCTTTTTTCCTTGTGATATCATGCCCATATAAGTCAGATCTCGTGATTGTTCCACAAACATCGGGAATTTGACGTTCCATTTACTCATGCTACAAAATTCCAATGACAATTCTTCCATCACATTACAAAGTAATTATATTGTTAATGGGTTTTCTTCTTTAGGATGCATAAAATACTCTATTTTGACGAAATCATAGGATCTCTATTATTAAATTTATATTGGCTTCCAAAAAAGAACACAACTCCTGTATACTGGTCCTTAAATACATCAATCAAATCAGACTATGAGGAAACCAACAGTCTATACAATATCCCAATCAAATGTGTAGATTAGAATAGTAATTAAAATAATAAAAAATATTTTTTATGATTAAATTGATAAATATAAAATCAGAATATTATTTAAAATTAATATCTTTAAAATAACATTTATAGAACAGAAGGCAAAGACTATGACCTTGCTTTAAAAAAAAGCGTGTGGTTATTAAGACTAAAAAAAATTTTATTTTGTACAATATTATAAAAAAATATATTAAACAATAATTAAAAACAAATTTATTTTAATTATTTATTAATATCATTAAAGTTATAAAAATAAATGTGTACACGTATCAATCTAATTTAATAAATTCTTTTTAAAATAATTTTAAATATAAAAAAACAATATAAAATTTTTTTATTTTTCATTACATTTTTTGATTCGAAAATATTTATAAAAAAATATTTTTTAAAAAAATTCTTATTTAAAAAGCTATTCAAGAAATTTATTAAAAAATTTTCAAAACATCAGATATACATACTAAATATTTTTATTTATATTACCAATTTAAAATAACACTTTGATTAGAAAAAAAATTGAAAACCCAGACCTGTTTTATTTTATTGTTTTTTAAAAGTTAAAAAACCATTAATAATTATACAAAATTAAAAATTTATTATTATATATATATATAAACAAAAAAACCAATTTAGTTTGCTATTTTGTAAATCTCTAGTGTTATAAACATATGTATATTTATCAACTTTATTAATATAAATAAGTAAACAACATTGATATTGCAGCCAAATTTCAATTAAATAAATAAATGATATTAATATATAGTATAATATTAAGGTTTTCAAATAAATATTTTTATTATAAATTAATAACCATTTATTTAATTTAAATAAAACTTTTAAAAAATAATGTGTTTAGGTGGAAAAATTATGGATGGGAAAGATCTGAAATATCATTGAAAATAAGAAGAGTGAAAACATGAAAGCAAGAAGCTCTGTATAAGTTAGTACATCATAGCTAATAACTCTTATCGCGTTACTTGAACGTCCAACATACAGTACTTGCAACTTCGTTAATGTGGCCGATAGAGAAACCGAAGTTACGATCTCTAGCAGAAAAATAAATATCGCCGAAAAAATTTAGCAGAATCCCAAAATATCGGTGATTTTAAAAAGGATTTATGCTTATTGCTTTTTTTTAAAAAAAAAAAAAAGTTAAAAAATCCATGCCAAAATTCAAATGCGATGATGATCGATCTGATTTAAACCCGAATTAGTGTACGTACTATCAAATGATTACGTAAATCAGTTCAAATCCTAACCCGACACTATCCTTGATATAGACAGTATTGTATTTAGGTAATTGTCATTTTTTAATGGAGTTCCTTGATTTCGGTTTGAATGGCATGCCTGATTATAAACACAATGATAAAGTAGTGTAACGGTGTAACGGCGAGTCTGTCGCTCACTCTAGCAGAGATTCGCGTAACCGTTATCAGGTAAGTAAACGAAAGGGTGATTTGAGGCGTGTTTTATTTGACCGAGTCTTTATTAATTTTATTCTCTAATTGTTTTCTCACTACTCTCTATCTCTTACATTTTACATGCTATTTATACTTCTCTTCCTTACATCTGGCTATGGCGGCTTAGCCATAGAATAATAGACACTAATACAATGGTATGGCTAAAGCTGGATGACATACTGTAATTCTTTTTCACATTCCCGTCTCTCCCTTATTACCTAATTATCACAGCCATCTTGTCATTAACGCGACAATCGGTCACGTGACGGACGTCGCGTTCCATTTTTACCTGTTACAGTAGTTTGGAATTTGTACAAGTCTAGTTATACCGCGACATGTAAACTTTTATTCTTATTAAAAATTATTTTTAAGAGGAAACAAAGAATTTCCATTCGTAACTTGCAATTTATTCTATAAAAGTTAATAATTAAAAATTTGGTAATCTATTTCATTCATTCTAAATAAATATTTACTGGATCAGTCTATTGTTTTGATACGGTGTGTACACTTAATAAATAAATTATAAAATATTTAAAAGGTCACAAATAGGACAAAGTTAAATAAGATACTTCTTATTTTCATTTTTGACATCTATTTGAAATAAATGGAAGAAATTATTAAAAAAGGACACCCAGTTAGAATATGCCCAGGCTGCCAGAAGACGACAAAGAAAGGAAATGAATTTGGAGAGAAAAAATTATGTGGATTTTGTTATTTTGGAGAGTCTTTTCTGAGAAAAAGTGGCAACCAGGATATTGATGATTTTCTAAGAAAATTTGCAGAATGGAAAAGGTATCCTTTCTTGGAATTTATACCGTACGTGGAGTTTTCAAGTATCGAAAAAATTGGGCATGGAGAGTTTAGCCAAGTTTATAAGGCAACTTGGAATAAAGGGCGTCTTCGCTTCTGGAATAGAAAAGACGGAAAATTTGCTCGATTTCCACCGGAAACAGTAGCATTAAAGGTTCTTGATAGATCTCAGAAAATAAGCTCTGAATTTTTGAAAGAGGTATTTAACATTTGAACTTGCTTATGATTATCCATATATTTGCTAATATTTTTGTAGCAACAATTCTTAAATCGAATTAGTATGCCGACAAAATATAAAAGACGTTTTATTGATGTCTACGGAATTTCGCGAGATCCCGAGTCTAATAATTATATTTTTGTCACAAGTTATGCGAACCATGGCGATTTAAAGAAATACTTACAAACTGATTTTAGTATTCTAACTTGGCTGAATAAGAGAAAACTTTTGGAAAATATCGTAAAGTCTTTAAATATGATGAAAAAGGCAAATTATATTCACCGAAATTTACACAGTGGCAATATATTACTAAATTCAACATTTCCGTTAATCGATGATTTAGAATTTCCAATGAATGAAAAGTCGAGTATTTACGGAGTCATACCTTACGTTGCGCCTGAAATATTTAACAATGTATTCCTTTCGGTTCAATCTAACATATATAGTCTAGGAATCATTATGTGGGAACTTACATCTGGAAATCATCTGTTCCAGGATAGAGTATACGATAAAAATCTTATTGCAGACATATGCAATGGACTAAGGCCGGAGATTACCAAAGATACGCCCGAATGTTGGGCAAGTTTAATGCGAAGATGCTGGGATTCAGAACCTTCAAATCGACCTGAAATAGAAGAAATTGTGAGAACAATTGAAAAATGGAAGAGTAATTATTATCTACAGTTTAAAGAAGCCGAAGAAGAACGCCAGAAAATAATTAAAGATGGTTTCCCATTGTTATAGGAACAATAGGGATGAGAACGCGATATTGTGGCGCGTCGCGTAATAATAGTGTCAGTGATGATGGAATGA